TCCCCATTCTTTTTGGGCACCATGAAGAAGACAGAGTATACTCCTTGTGACCTTTCCTTCACAGGTACCCTCTCTATAGCTCCGATGTCCAGGAGATGTTGGATGGCCTTTGTCAATAACCTGTGTTTCTCCAATGAACGATTCTTGGGTAACTCTAGGAAATGCCACTGAGGAAAACATTCGAACTCTAGGGAGTAACCCTGTGAAACCGTCTCTTGGACCCACCTGTCTGTGTCTGACTGTTGCCACTGATGGGTGAATAACCTCAGATGGCCCCCTACTCCCCCTACGTTTGGATTCTTGGCTGAGGGTTCCTTCTTTGCCCCCTTTTGGTTTTGTCCTTTGCTTTCCACCGTCTCTAGACCTAGCCTGCCATCTGCCTTTGAAGGCCCTATTAAAGGATTGTCTGTCCTCACGTTTGAAATCCCAAAAGGGCTGAAACCTCTTTTTTGAACGCACCTCCTCCTCCTTTGAGGGTAAGACTTTTTTCTTTTCCTTATCCTCTATTAGGTATCTATCTAGTCCTGCCCCAAAGAGATTAATTCCCTTGAATGGGACGGCAGCCACCTTTGCTCTTACTGCCGGATCAGCATCCCAAAGCCTAAGCCAAGTATTACGCCTGGCCGTCACGCTACACGCCATCGCTCTAGCTGATAACTGGAGAGCATCCAGAGATGCATCAGCAACAAAAGCCGTGGCCAAAGCTATTTTCTTTAGCTCGTCCTTTAGACTTTTAGGAATTCTGCTGTCTACCGTGTTAAGTTCTGATGCCCAAGCATAGGCTGCTCTAGCGAATAGCGACCCTGTAGCTGATGCCCTCAAGGAGCTGGCTGATGCTTCATAATGTCTGCGAAGCGCCTTCTTCACTCGCTTGTTGCTGTTGTCCTTAGGTAAACCCTCTGCGTCCATGGGAAGAAGAGAGTTAGATGCCAGAGAATTAATCGTGTCATCCACTACAGAGAGCCTAAACTTTTTTGTAGCCTCCGGTATGAGCGAATAAAACCTAGAAAACATAGACGTATTAGCTCTGGGATTAGCTGGGTGTTCCCATTCTGCCATAATAACCTTATAAAAGGCTGCAGGCAAAGGTACACCTGCTGTTTTAGACACTGTCTTTGGAATGGTCTTTTCATACCCCTCAGGAAATTCTGCCACCTCTGCATCCTTCTCCTTAGGAGTATACGAGAGTTCTCAACACCTTAGATAACATTCTATTATACAACTCCTGTGGAAAAAGTCTAGACTCCACCAAGAGAACCGCTTCCTCTTCTGAAAGTTCTTCGTCTTATCAGAAGCAGAGACAGAATTATCAGAAACCTCCTCCAAGTCACTAAAAAGAGGACTAGTGTCCCTCTCTTCAGATTCCCTTCTGGCCTAGGAGGGGAGACGTCAAGGAGCCTGTAGCTGTTGCTACCTCTTTTCTTCTCTAGTTGTTTGGGGCTGGAGGAGTCACTCTGATGCCAAACATCTTTAACTTCCTTTTTAATCTCCTCCTTAAGCCAAGCCAAGAGATTCGTTTTGGCTTCCTTCCTGGACATATCCAACCCCTGGGAGTCATCCTTGGAGGAATGTGAAACTGCCCGGTCATCCAAGCAAAGGGAACTTGAGGAACCTGCTTTGTCAGCCATTTGTCTTCCTCTGCAAAAATGAAAGTAAAAAATCCCATCACTCAGAATTACCTAAAATGGCTGACTTTCCCGCCTTTATTCCACTTTCCTCAACCAAGGCTGAGAAAAGAAAGGGGAAACTACTTTCAACCCCCACAACCCTCAGTGGAGTTTCCCCCTTCTTCAGCAAGAAAGGGAAACCCAGTCATAACAGTAAATCTCACAAAGTAAGAGGGTTGCCAACAGAAAAGGGGGGGGGGGAAGGGAGAAATAAAAAGGGGGGAATTTACCCACCTTCTGGCTCTATGAGGCTTCTCCCACCTCAGCCAGGACCCCCATTACCAGTGCCATTCCTACCGTGTTTCAGAAGAGGCACTGACCGACCACTGGCCTCAACATGCTTTCCCAAGTCTCCTACTCCTTCAGATGAAAGCACGCAGTGTTTCAGTTGGTTCCTGAGAACTGCGCTGCCAAATCTGTGCTGCTCAGGCCTTTCCACCGGCTCCGCTACAGTTCCCTCGCCTCTCCGACATCCGGAAGAGGGAAGGAGCCCCTGTATGTGGCCAATTCCGCTTGGGCATGTGGGAGCCGGGTCCGCGGCTGCTGCGATGTCCAAGAGCCTCCCCAGACCGTCAGCAGCCGCCCATACAAACCGTGGTTTTTTCTTGGCGCTCTTCTGTGCACCGCGCGGTTCGGGGAGGGGTAGAAAGGTAATTACCTTCCCCCACCGCCCAAAAAACTCCAAACACTGTCTTCTGTCTTCGCTGTGGAATCTTCGTGGTCACGAGAGCACAGCCGAACGTCCTGCTCCGAAGGCAGGGCCGGTAGAACTGGGAAGCCAGAGGACAAGCCCCTCCCCTCTGGGATCAAAGTTTGGCCGGCCCTGCAAGTGGAGAGGGAGGGGCTAAGTCCCATGAGTAAGGAGTCATGGAAGGACCGCCCCACTCTCTGGACCACCGGAGAAGTAGGGGTGTTACTAGTACCTGAAAAGATCTGAGGCTTAGGTCGTACCAATTCACCAAAGGAAACTGCAAATGTAGCAGAAACAAACTAAAAACCTGTATGATGTAGTAGTGTAAACAATGACAACTTTTATACTTATTCATTTTTATCTCACCCTTCCCCCCAGGAGCTCAGAGTGGCATATATACCTCCCCTTTACACTAGTACCCTTCATCATAATAATTTTATATGACACAGTTTGATTGGTAATGATTCACTCGGATGTTGTTTTAAAACAAACATTTATTTGTGAACATTATGAAGCTTTATACAATTTGCTGCTACACAAAATTATACATTGGTCTGATTACTTAAAATGTAGGAGGGGACAAAGATGTTAGGAGAAAGACATAGCATTTGTGGCATCAGTAAGAGACTGATAAAAATATTAATCTATTCAAATTTTTCAGAGCATGATTAATCCCAGATTCAGTACCAGCAACATATTTTAATATAAGTTGCTTGCCTTGTTTCAGTCTGCAAACAGTACATAGGAAAAAGGTAGTATACATTTATTCTTTCCAATATCTTAAAAAGCCAAACAATATTATACAGATATCACTGCAAACTTTTGTCTAATGACTGTCTTTATGACGATATTCTTAAAAGTCTTGCTGATAATACTTTTGTTTCATTTGCTACAAGGTTAGCACATTTAGAAGCATACAAATGGGATCACTGTTCAACTTCAGGAAGGTGGCTGAAGAATTGTGAAAGAATAAGGCCACGATCCAAAGAAGTGCACACAAAGACACGCACTTTAATGTTTTAAAACCCCACTACACATGTAGTGTAGATCCAGGCCTCAACATGGTACCATGGATTTCTTTTGCCTTTTGCTGCCGTGACAGAGACCCACTACAACTGGATTTTTAAAAGTTGGTCCACAGAAAAATCCCAAAGCCACGTAGTACTTTTTACAGTAGGGGTGTGTGTGTGTGTGTGTGTGTGTGTGTGTGTGTACACACAAAAAAAAACCCCATAATTCAAAACAACACAATTCAAAACAATGTGCAACGTAGTAAGAAGCATTATGTGGCTTTGGGTTTTAGATTTTACAGTTGGACTGTATTCTCTGCTTGGGAGAAGAAACAGAATTTTGGGACCCTCAAGACCTAATTAATCATGCCATGCAGAAATGTGCAACAAAACGGATAGGCTTTTACAAAGAGAGAGAGAGAGAGAGAGAGAGAGAGAGAGAGCTGCTTCAGAAGGGGTGAGTCAGACCAAAGAATGGGGGATGCTTTAGATTTTTGCTGCTGCTGCTTCCCCACTTCAAACCATCACCACCCTAGAAACATTTCTTCCAAATGAGAGTTTACTCTTACAAATAATGCATCTAGAATCCTGGTGGGGTGGGCGGAGTTATCTGAATGTAGATTTATCAGGTGGCAGAAGAGTTAAAAAACTTCTCCCAGTGTAGCTCTGACAACCCCTGTGGGAAATGATTTTTCTGTTAAAATGGAAAACAAACCACCAGGGTTCATTATATACATTTGCATGTAACATTAGAATAGACCACCACTATCTGTGCATGGGGGCAGTTTATTAACAATTTGAACACACCGCTGACTTTTTACCCAAGTCAAGAGGACTTTCCACTAATAAAAGTAAACACTGATTTTCTTACCTTTCTTCTTCCATGATCTCGTAATACTTTTATTCCTCTTATGTCTAACATCACCACTGATTAACACCAGTTCTTTTCTCTCATTAACAGCTTTCTTTGTCAGCACAACTGGAGAAACTAGCTCAGTTCCTCACATGACTGAGGTTGACAGCAGCCTATCTGAAGGAAGACAGAAGATCCAGCCTTCTGAAACTCAGTAAAATGGATGCTATATTTCCCTTTGTTGTTGATGGGGGGGGGGAGTTTGATTCACCACAACCTTGAAGGAAGGAGAAAGATTTAGCTCACAACAATAAAAAAAGACTAGGGCCAAAATTTTGGTTTTCACACATATTGTAGGCAACCAGGATGTGGGGAAGCAGATAAACAGCTAGGATCTGACTTCCCTTGAAGATATAGCTGCTGAACTTCAGCTGGGAGTGCATGATCCAGATCATGTGAAATGTTAACTGCTATTCCCCATGAAAGAAACAGTAAACAAAAGCAAGGGGTGCTTTCTTTATTAATAGACAACTAAGGGATCACCAGTCAAATGTTAAAAAACTACTACACTTCAGCAGCCAAGTCAGAAAAATCAGAGGATATCAAGGTCATTACTGAGAAATCCCATTTGAGATATGCCTACAGTTACTGAACTCACACTATTCCCAAAAATACCCATAGCCATGTTAACCCTCAGTTAGCCTGAAAAGCCCTACTTCTACATGCATCTCTTCAGGCTGTAAGAAGAAACCGAAGACATAACCAAATTATACAGCCTGCCCATCACATAACAGGAAGGGTGAAAGGTGGGTTTTTCAAACTGTCAAATATAAACTTGCTGTACTAATTGGGACTAGTATTAGTTGATTGTTAATATAGAACCAGAGGTGAATGCTAACTCCTCTTCTACAACAGTGGCTAACTGCATTCCTAGGAAACTTGGGAGTTCCATGGAAACTTAATAGGGGTTCTTTAATAAGAAAAACTGACAACAATGAATAAGCTTCCCTGAAAGACAGCTAGCCTGCCATCAGCAATCTGTTTTACTATGTGTGGGCAAGGTTACATGGAATTAGGCCCAAGTAGACCTTCCCTGGTGCATGTGTGTCCTGAAACATGCCCTAGAATCCTGCAGAATGCACAGAAGTTCAATGGCAGACAGATAGAAAAACTGAAATCTACTGCTCTAGAACCAAATTGTGTGATGATTTATTCACATTAAAAAGTTACCATTTTTTTCAAACAGTTAAAAAATGAAGCTGCAGAACCTTTTAACAATTTTCCCTGGTATGTTTTGTACTATTTTCATAATGCTTAGTACTTTTATGCACAAAGATTTTATTTCTGGAGTTATGTTTTCATGTATAAATTTCTACTGCTTGAGAGCACCACTAAAGCCATTATTCACTTGTGCAAAGACAACTGCAGACCCTTGATTACATTTTAAAGACAAAATAAATCACTAACAATACTACTATCTTATGTGATATAGACATAAATAAGAACCACTCATAATTGTAAACATAGTAAGCTCAAATGGCAGCTGACACAATACCACTACCAAAAATATTAATGGATATTAAATATATATCAACTTTCCAAGTCCTGCCCAATGGATTTATAAGCATAAACAGTAATGATCCTCAAACACATCTATCAACCCCTTTCTCTGCACAGATTTTTTTCTTTTGCTTCAAAAGTGCAATTAGGATGGCTGTGCAAACATTAGTACATTTTCCATCTGATCATCCATTTATTTAGAATTTATTGCTGCCACAAGCACCACAGTATATTTAAACCAGCACAATATAGATCTAATATGGTTAATTCATTTTAACAAAAAAATCATTTTTACCCTGGTCAAACCATCTCAAAAGTATAATTAAATCACTGTAATTTAAATTACACAATTTGGGGAGGGGGAGGGACAAAATTTAATCATGAAAATATTCCCCTCCTTCCTGTCTCAACACATTAAATCACTAAATAAATAAGCAATTCATTTAAAAACCGTTACAACTAAAGAACCATGGCAGATAAAAAAAGGATGCAATAGTTGCTCTCAGACAAGCACAGCAATATTTTGAAATCGGATAACCATTTGGGCATTGCGAATATTGAAAAGGCCTATATTACTTGCAAACATAGTGCCTGTGTAATCTCAGTCCTGAACATAATGGTCACAGCCCACAAACCTCATGTACAAGTGCTTCCCATCCTCTTTGAGAAAGGAGCCATACTACACTTACACAGGCACCAAACATGCTGAATGGCTCAGTTTTCAGATACCTCATATGTATGAGGGAAGAGGGTAACACAAGAAACCAGTTGACAACTATTGTCTTTAATGTTGGAGTACATCATAAGGCTTGTTGCTTAATTTAAGTAACTTTGTATGTCTCTTGTTTCCAATTTAAATTCTAGTAACCAGAGTTGCAAAACATACTCAAATAAAATGACATGCTTAAAGCTTTGTTTGTTTGTTTGTTTGTTTTTTAAAAAAACCTGCTGGCCATTCAAAAGGATCTTCATAACTAAAAAAAAACATACCATTTTTCTACATTTGGTCCAAAATGAAAAATAAAACAAAAAAATTAATGGGCCCTTTTCCTTATATTTACAATATCTGTGTTTGTGGAATTCTAAAAACAACATGGCTTTTAGCAACAAGAAAAGAACAAGAGTACTGCTGCCTATGAAAGGATAACCAGATGCTTCTTGAAAATAGTATTTGAGTATTAGCCTTGTCCTGGAATTTGGGTTCTTTTGCTCAGTTCAGTTTGAATCTACATACCTTCAATAACAGGCCACTTGCAAGTCAAAGTTTAAATCATGTTTTCAAATAATTAAAATTAACAGAAGTTATTTTAAAAGGTATATTTTACAGTAATTACAAAATTGAGTAAAGTAGCAGCTCTTAAAGCAAGATTCAAGCATGTTGAAAAAGTTTCAAGTAGAGAACTAGCCTTCTTTATCAAAGATGCTCACAACTTTACCAAAAACCTGCAAAAAAAAGAGAAAGACATTATGGAAAGCATTTGCACATTACACCAATAAGTAAATACAATGTAAACTATAGACTATGTTCAGATACGTAAAATTTTAAATTCAGAGATGTAATTGCTACTCACATTAGGCCTATTCAGAGTAAAAGTCTTCTAACATGTGGAGCAACAGAACCATTCTGGAAGATACCCCATTCCATTTAACTGGAAGTATAAGTTCTAGTTAGATGTTGTTTACTTTGACTTCCAGAAAGCTTTTGATAAAGTTCCTCATCAAAGGCTCATAAGTAAGCTCAAAAATCAAGGGATAAAAGGGCAAGTTCTTTTGTGGATCAAAAATGGGCTAATTAATAGGAAACAGAGAGTGAGTATAAATAGGCAATATTCTCAGTGGAGGGTGGTAAGTACTGGGGTACCGCAGGAATCAGTACTCGGTCCGATGCTTTTTAACTTGTTTATTAATGATTTGGAGTTGGGAGTAAGCAGTGAAGTGGCTAAATTTGCGGATGATACAAAGTTGTTCAGGGTGGTGAAAACCAGGGAGGATTGTGAGGCACTCCTAAGGGATCTGTTGAGGATGGGTGAGTGGGCGTCAACGTGGCAAATGAGGTTCAATGTGGCCAAGTGCAAAGTGATGCACATTGGAGCCAAAAATCCTAACTATAAATACACATTGATGGGGTCCGAACTGGCAGAGACTGACCAAGAGAGAGATCTTGGAGTCGTAGTAGATAACTCACTGAAAATGTCGAGACAGTGTGTGACTGCAATAAAAAGGCCAATGTTATGCTGGGGATTATTAGGAAGGGAACTGAAAACAGATCAACCAATATCATAATGCCCCTATATAAAGCAATGGTGCAACCTCCTTTGGAATACTGTGTACAGTTCTGGTCACCACACATTAAAAAGGATATTATAGCTTTGGAAAAAGTGCAGAAAAGAGCAACTAGAATTATAAAAGGATTGGAACACTTTCCCTATGAAGAAAGGTTAAAACGCTTAGTGCTCTTTAGCTTGGAGAAACAATGGCTGAGGGGGTGACATGATCGAGGTTTATAAGATTATGCATGGGATAGAGCAGGTAGAGAAAGAAGTACTTTTCTCCCTTTCTCACAATACAAGAACTCGTGGGCACTCCATGAGATTGCTGAGCGGTCGGGTTAGAACAGATAAAAGGAAGTACTTCTTCACCCAAAGAGTGATTAACACATGGAATTCACTGCCACAGGAGGTGGTGGCAGCTACAAGCATGGACGGCTTCAAGAGGGAATTGGATAAACACATGGAGCAGAGGTCCATCAGTGGCTATTAGCCACAAGGTATAGATAGGAACTCTCGGTCTGGGGCAAGTAGTGCTCTGTATTTTTGGTGCTTTGGGGGGGGGGGTCAATAGCGTGAGGGCTCCTAGTGTCCTGGCCCCACTGCTGGGCCTCCTGATATCACATCGTATTTTTGGCCACTGCGTGACAGAATGTTGGACTGGATGGGCCACTGGCCTGATCCAACATTGGCTTCTCTTATGTTCTTATGTTATTTGTGGATAGTACTCACTTACTAGTTCTCATGCTGTCAGCAAGACCCCCAATGTGTAAAGCAATTTTGCCCTTTCACAAATATTTATGTTCCATGTTTATCATTAAGATGAATATATATCCATATCTATAGTAAAGGTAAAGGTTTCCCTTGCTTGAAAGCCGGTCGAATCCAACTCTAGGGGGCAGTGCTTATCTCAGTTTCCAAGCTGAAGAGCCAGCGCAGATATATATGGATATATATGATATATGCACTACATCTCTGCTAAGGAACCTGCTGAGAATTCTCTTTTTATATAACTATATTCATACTATATATTGTCTCTTCAGTATTAACTTTGCTGGTCAAAGTGATATGGAAATATGTCTGCCACCTGCAATATAAAGTGAGAATTGGAATCCAAGGACCCAAGAGAGTTCTCAAGTCTTACAATCAGATTCATAGCCAAATTCCTACCTTGAGTTGAAATTACTGCTTGGGGTATAAGCAGAAGCTTTTGTCACGTCCGCTGCCATCATATTCTTTGTTAGGCAGTGCTATGAGGGTTCCCACTCCAGCCCTCTTTGTATACACCCCAGCCCGAAAAGGCCTCTGAAAATTTGTCCCCATGTTTTACATCAGCACTCACCACTGCTTTAGTGGAGAAGGCAAGATCGGCCCCCAGCCACCCAGCCGTGTAACTGCATTGTGTCTCAAGCATAACCCTGTACTCTTATGCAGCAGACATTATGACTTAGTAGGTCAAGCTGCTTTGAAAAGAAGCTCTGCAAACAGAGTGTCAAGCTCTCTATTCTGTCTTAATGCTGAACATAACATTAACCAGATATCCGCACCACCATTTCCAGATATATGTATAACGACTACCCATGTGTCTGTCTCCTCCCTGTCTACAGGTAATACAAGTCGGGGGGGGGGGGGGGGGAGAGAGATGGAAGCAAAAGAAAGCAACCAGCCTAGCAAATGAGGACCTGCCCAGAATGTGTGTGACTACTGGTTGTCTTGTCTTACTTGTTTGACTATATTATATTGTTTGAATTGGAAATTTCTGCAAGCCCCTTTGGGGAAAAAGCAAGATAGAAATGCCTAAATAAAATGTCAAAACTGAAAAGGAGCAGCTTAATAAAGTGTTGGCCCATTGTCCTATATAGGCTGCAACCCCAACTCCCCTGGCAAAATTGGATATGTGTTTTTTAAGAAAATTCGGAACTAAACCTTCTGCCTTTGGAACTTACTTCATCAACAGATTTGGAGGCATCCACTTTCCTGACTTTGCCCGTTTTCTCATATAAGTCTATTATGGGCTTTGTAGACTCTAGATATGTATGAATTCTAAGGGAATAAAAAAACCAGAAAGTCACATAATTGAAAAGTATCAGAAAACACAATGAAGACATTTTGTTTGTACACGGTACCTCTTCTCCAAACTCTCTCTGTTGTCATCACTTCTGCCACTACTCTTCCCTCTTTCAAGGCAGCGGTTAATACAGATCTTCAAACAAAAGACAAAAAGTTTACCAAAGCATGAACACAAAAGTAGAAAAAAATATATCTTTTTTTGTCTTTTTACTCTGCAGAGGAAAAAATGCATTTTAATCATGTTACATACAAATGTTATACTACCTTAGTGAATTGGCTACTCAAGTACACAGCACATGAACTCTGGCAACCAGTTAACCATTTGTCATGGAAGACATTTTTGAAAAGATTTCACTGAACTAAAAAGCTGTTTAAACTCTTAAATTGTAAAATCAGAACAATATGAAAAACAGAGTTGGACCAGGAAATATTTCTAAGATGGCTACTGTGGTGGTGGTGTGGTGGAATGTCCTTGCATTCCAGTAACTCAATCAAAAATATTTCTTACTTCATGGCATACTAAATGATCACTGTATGAGCGTTTAATCTATTTCCTACATTAAGACGAAACCGCATATTAAAAAGATAGAATATTAACAAGTATTATCATATTTCTGATCAATTCCTAAAACACCATATTTATTTTAATGAAAAGGATGAACGACTTTAGGGTGACAGAACTGGGGAGAGGAGAAAAAAGTTACACAAAAGTTGCTTGCCTTTTTATGCTATGAGCATTCATTTTGCCTGAACTGCTTTGTAGCACTCAAGTTTGCAGTGACTTCCTTAAAGAACTAGCTCACTCAGTAATAGACATCAAGATTCTATACTTCTACTTCTATTCTGGCTATCAACAAATTTCTCTCCTTACAGAACAACTCTTCGTTAATTTAGTGTCAGAACATATTTTTCGGTTCCAGGGCTTAATTGGACATGATGCAGTGGAGCGGCTAAAGGTCTCACTTTTTTTAAACATAGCACCAGTGTGGAGGGAGGGGACACATGACCATTGAGTAGGGAGGTTTTTAACTGCTTCCTTCCCCCCCCATGCTCTTCCTTCTTCAATTTAAACGGATTCCCCCAGGGGCTGCTATTAACGCACTGGGAAAAGGCAGGTATAACATGGGAGGGGAAAGGGATAAGCAGTTCTTTCTCTTATGGCCACAGTTCCCTTCTCCATGGCTTTACCTGGTATTTTTGGCCACTGTGTGACATAGTGTTGGACTGGATGGGCCACTGGCCTGATACAACATTGACGTCTCTTATTATTCTTATGTACCTTGTTTAAAACAGAACATTGTGATCACATGTAGTTTGCCCTGCAAAGAGGTATGAATTACATTTTTTCCTACAATCTTACCTAGACAGAGTATCCAATTAACCTGATTATTACATAATCACAGCACACAGTGAGACTGAAATCAACGTGCATTCACATAGTACATGGGAAAGTTGAAAGTACACTGACACTTAACTTACCTCATTATTGCAGTCAAAAAAAAGAACAAAAGATACTTCTGCTTTTCCATCCATTGTTTTGTTCCAGCCCTGAAGGTTGTCTTCATTCCTGGGAAATCCATCAATTAAGAATTTATTCTTCTGTGCATTTCCTGCCATGGTTTCCTCCATAGCCTGATGGGTTACAAAGTTCAGATAAAAACATTATTGCACACTGACAATATGGGGAATCACTTCAACAATCCCTAAAATGTTGACAAGAATTAAAATCTTTTAACTAAATCTGTCACATTTGTATACAACACATACGTTTCCCCCCACTTTCTTAAAGATTGTTTGATGAAATCTTAGCAGCGGTATACTTAATGCCCATGGTGGGGGGTCCAAATTAAACAGAATAATCTTTTAGGTAAAGGTAAAAGTTTCCCTTGCTTGAAAGCCACTTGAATCCGACTCTAGGGGGTGGTGCTCATCTCCGTTTCCAAGCTGAAGAGCCAGCGCTGACCGAGGGAGGAGATTGCATTTATACCCCATCCTTCACTTGGTGTCTCAGAGCAGCTTACAAACTCCTTTCCCTTCCCCTCCCCACAACAGACACCCTGTGAGGTAGGTAGGGCTGAGAGAACTCTGACAGAAACTGCTTTTTTCCAAGAACAGCTCTGACAGAACTATGGCTTGCCCAAGGTCATCCAGCAGCTGTGAGTGGAGGAGTGGGAAATCAAACCCAGTTCTCCCAGATTAGTCTGCGCACTTAACCACTATGCCAAACTGGTGTACTTAATAGAGTTTACTCGGGTTAAATATTTTGCAGAACTAAATGCATTATGTTCCAATATGCAAAGGCCCTTACAGTCTGGTGCCCTGGACTGTGACCATTCTAAAGAGGAAAAATATTACCTTATGATCATCATCAAATTCTATGATAGTGATTCATCTTGTCTGGAATGATGTTATTAGTTACTAACAAAAGTAATGCAAAATTTCATCAAGCTTGTTTCAGTTTATCATGGAAAACTGGCAACTCAACATCTTAATTTTAACCTTACCCTTTTTAGCAAACTGATTGTTATTTCAACAGGAACAATTTTCCCCTCTTTAATATAACTTTCAATGAGCTCTCCATACTGAGAGCCTGGTCTCTTCCTCTCATCACGAAGGAGGTCACCTGCAGAAAGGTGGGTGTAACCATATTTCTGAGGGGGGAAAAACAATAACACAGCTATTTAATTGTGGATGCAAGACTGGAAAGACAAAGAACAGGGTTTCTTCAGTTGTCACTTCAGTATTATGAAGTTTTCTCTACCAGGAAATGAATCTATTCCATCAGGCCATTGAAAAGTTTTTGTTATTTTTTATTTTAAAAATCTACATACCACTTTTCTAACACTCAAAGCAGTCTCCAGATATACGGATAAAACAATAATAATTAAAACGTTAAATCAGTGGGACTTAATGGATAGCCAATTCACAATTATTATACAAAAGAGCCACATTTATGTTCATCTATGGCATGAGGCTTGTACTTCAAGAAGGATTGCAGTTAGAGATGTGAAGGCCCTGGAAAAAAAACACGGAAAAATTCGGGGGAGGGGGGGGATGGACAGTTTTTTCCCTGAAGTCTCTTTTGTTTTTTTCCGAAAAATTGGAAAAAAGAAAAGAAAAAAATGATTATGGAATGTTTTATTTTAACATGATGAATAAAATATTTTAATACAAGGAATTCAAATATTTTCCAAATCATTTCTAAAAAATATTTATGGTATCAGATTAATCTAATTTCTGTGCACTGAGGACAAGCAAGTCCTAGGTTACAAACTGAACTCTGCAATGCAAGAACAAGATGCATTTCTTCCTTTAGGAGGTGCTATTGTCACAAGAAAAGAAAAAGGTTTCAGTTTTGTTTTTGCATGTGGGTGGGTATACTGGCACTCAGGCTTCACTAGGCCTCAAAGCACTGGAAGAAAATACAGAGCAACAAAAAGGACCTGAAAGTATATACTTACTTGGAAAAGGTAAGAGTTTTCATTTATCTGATTCCAGAAAACTGAATCATTTAGCTACATTAGTTTAATCTTTATAACCTTTGTGTAAATAATAATTTAATTACTACTAATCTGGTTCTTTACTTCCCTCCACCCACCCACAATAATTGTTTGGATACACTATATTTTTAATATGCTAGTTGTGATAATTTCATGCCAAGTAAAATTGTCCATAGTCATATTTTATGTTCCTAAAGTAACAGAATGACTTTCAATCTGGAAAAGAAAAAAGAAGTACTAATGTAGCATTTTTTTCAATTTTCAAAAATTTGCGTTTCTCCCCAGAAAAAACTGGGTTTTTTTCCAAGCTTCAAAATTTCTGGAAATTTTACATCTCTAATTGCAGCTCACCTGTTCCTCTGGCAATGGCAGTATTAAAGTAGAAACCACTTACAAACCACGAGCCTCACTGGGGACAAGGTTCTTGCCCATTTTCCTGAAAAATGGAGAACTTGAATTATGGAGCAGTGCTCAGATGAGCCACAGATGGCTCCCAAGCAACCAGGGTGGATTAAAAACCAATGATTTTTTTTTTAATCAAAAATCGGATTTTTAAGCACTACTGAAATTGTCTTCCTTTAACAGGTGCAAATGCCCCCCCAAGGACATAGAGAGTACTCCATCTTTCTGTGTTATACCTCTGAGGGTGCCAGTCACAGCTAATGGCAAAATGTCAGGTCCTACAATGCCAAGAGCTCGGCCATACAATCCGGAAAATCTACAACAGCTATATAATCCAGAGACTCAGAAACTCCACTATTTAAAGTATGTACTACCTGCTTTTTCAAACATTCAAAGTTCAAAAGACACACTTTTAAAAATACCATGGTAAAAAACAATAATGTTCACTTTGTCTCTTTGTTCCCTATTTTCTTTTTGCTAGAATCCCAGGGGTGAAGTAGTTTTTAATTAATTATACGTTAAAAATATTTACAAACATTCACAGACACACTTTTAAAAACACCATGGTAAAACAAGACAATGAACAACATTTATTTAAAAAGCTCAGCTCAAAAACTACTGAAGCAACCAAATACCTTACTTATAAAAATAGCACTGAGAATAAACCATGGTATGGAATCCTGACTTGCAAGATGGGCAAAAGAAAAAAAACACACACACACCAAAAAATCCCCATAATTTCCCCGTTTGAACATAATAACAAACCATGGTTTTCTCTGAACCAGGGAATATCCAACCATCTGATTACATGTGAGGAGAGCAGAGATGCACCGATCCAAGGCTCCTTAAGGAACAAAGAGCATGCCATGGTTTGGTGTACTATGTGGATTGTGCCACAGGGAGGTACCATTCCTCACTGACAGGGATCCTACAAGGTACAATGGGTGAGAAATATAATGTATACTGAATCTCTTCCTCTCCCTACAGTATAGAAGTTCTGTAACCACAAAACACACACTTTCATGGAAGTCAATGTGCCAATATTAGTAAACTTAACACCAACATGAGAGTTTTACTGATGAAAGCCCAGCCTCGCCATGGCTTCAAACATGCTCCCCCCTCCTACACCTGACAGGCAGTCTGTCAGGTGCAGCAGTGGTTGCGGGGTGCTTAAAGCCATGAGGGAGCCTGCCCCAGCAGTAATGCCTTCGTGATCCTGCCAGCCCCGCCTCCACAGTGGCTTCTAATACTCCCCCCTCCCCCTACTACACTGGACAGGCAGCTGCCTGTCATGTGTAGGAGAGGAGGTGGGATGCTTACAGCCACCGGGGAGGTTTGCTCAGCAAGACTGCCTTAGCTCTATTGCTCCATGATGCATTTAAACATGATCTCCCCAACACCAGACAGGTGGGTGTCTGTCAGGTGTAGGAGCAAGACCAGGGTACTTTAATCCAGCATAGACACTGCCCCAGTAGGATCACCTTAGCGATGCTGCTGGCCCAGCCTCTCTGATGGCTTCCAACACACTCCCCCCACCTCCTACACCTAACAGGCAGTTGTCTGTCAGGTGCAGCAGTGGATGCAGGGTGCTTAAAGCCATGAGGGAGTCCACCCCAGCAGTCTACAGAGAGGTCCTTCAGTAGAGGGGGAAAAGTACGCATGTCTCACTTCCATTTTTTACACTACAATCTTCATTAGAATTCCTACAACAAATGTTACATTTCAAACTTTACATCATCAGTATTATAACTGGATTTACGGAAGTGAAATACCGTAGCGAAGCATGGGTATCAGGCTAGTATTTTCATAAATTTTTAAGAGCCAGTAACATAAAATGAATTTTACAAGTTGTATTTCAGTAGAAAAATCTATTTATGTGGGACTGGAGCAGTTAGAAATGACTAAACTGACTTCCCAAAGTCCGATGTCAGTATGACTCATACTGCTTATGGATTTAAGCAGTGCCAAATGCTTGTGCCTCACAGCAACCCTGCAAAGGAAACCCTGTTTACCTAAGTAAACATGAATGCCCTAGATCACGTAACACTTACCAGTAGAGTTTCATAATGTCCTGACTGGATGGCCCAGGCTAGTCCAATCTTGTCAGACCTTGGAAACTAAGCAGGGTTGGCCCTGGACAGTATTTGGATGGGAAACCACCAAAGAAGTCTAGCATCTCAACTCTGAATGTCTCTTGTCTATGGGGTCACCATAAGTTGGCTGCAACTTGTTAGCACTTTCCACCACCACCACCACCAAAGTTTCATAACACGAATACTCAACTAAAGCCCTCTCAATGTACATTTGCAGCTTTTGGTTCCTAGGAAGACCATTAGAGCATCTTTATTCAAAAGCCTAGACACACTGGGGGTACATTTACACTGCATATTGAAATCAGGCTCAACTGACATCAACAGTTTTGCCCCCACTCTGAAAACTGTAGTTCCATTCCTTTTCTAGCCATTTCACAATAACATAATTGGTGAGGTTTCCTGGTTGGAAGCCTGGACAGTTGCCTAAGTTTGTAACTGCAATACAGTAAAAATTACCATGTCATAGAATCATAGAATGTTAGAGTTGGAAGGGACCTTGCAGGTCATCTAGTCCAACCCCCTGCACTCTGCGGGAGCACAGCCGAAAGATAGCCCTACAACATACCCGAAAGATTGTCGTCCAGCCTCCACTTGAAAACGTCCAGCGAAGGAGCATCCACCACCTACCAAAGCAGTCTGTTCCACTGCTCAACCACTCTTACAGTTAGGAAGTTTCTCCTGATATTTAACCGGTATCAAATCCCTTGTAATTTCCACCCATTAGATATAGTCTTGCAATCCAGAGCAAGAGAGAATAGATTTGCTTCATCTTCTACATGACAGCCCTTCAAAGACTGCAATCATGTCCCCTCTAAGCCTTCTCTTTCCCAGGCTAAACATACCCAACTCTTTCAGCTTTTCCTCATAAGACTTGGATTCCAACCCCCTCACCATCCTGGTTGCCCTCTTCTGGACACACTCGAGTTTCTCAACATCCTTTCTAAAATGTGGTGCCCAAAACTGGACACAGTACTCCAGGTGAGGCCTGACCATAGCAGAATAGAGTGGAACTACCACCTCCCGTGAGCTGGACACAATGCTTCTGTTAATGCATCCTAAGATAGCATTAGCTTTCTTCGCAGTCATATTGCACTGCAGGCTCATGTTTAGCTTGTGATCAACCAAAACACCTAGATCCCTTTCATATGAGCTGCTGTCAAGCCAAGTCCCTCCCAATCTATATCTATGCCTTTGATTTTTTATACCTAAGTGTAGGACTTTGCATTTATCTCTATTGAAATTCATTTTATTTGTCTCAGCCCACTGTTCCAGCCTATCTAGATTATTTTGAATCCTGACTCTGTCTTCTTCAGAATTAGCAATCCACCCAGCTTCGTGTCATCTGCAAATTTGATAAGCATCCCCTCTATGTCTTCCTCCAGGTCATTTATAAAAATACTGAACAACACCGAGCCCAGGACCAAGCCCTGCAGGTCTCCACTCGAGACTTCCCTCCATGTAGATGCAGAGCCATTTACAAGCACTCATTGGGTACCATGATCCAACCATGAATCCATCCAACAGTTGCACCATCCAGCCCACATTTAACCAGCTTATCCTCAAGGTAGTACAAAACTAAACAATGTTTCTGGAATTTTTTCCCTTAATACTTACTAACATAACAGCCTAATCTACTAACACTTTCCTGGATGTAAGCCCCAGACCTTAGGAGGATTGATTATACCAGCGAAGGTTAGCACTGTAGGCCACTAATGCAAACAGACACATTAGTGGATCAGAACAACAGCTCAACTACTTTTTCTAGCCTATCTATATACTAATACCGAAGTTGCCCCCTGGTGTGCGGATAGATAATTCCGCGCACCGGGGGCACCCGGGTGGGAGGGAGAGTTTTGTGCACATGTGGGGCGGTCCCCAGGTGTGCACAAAAATCTAAAAAGTTTTTAAAAATATCGGGGGGATACTTAAATCCCCCCAAAAGTGACAGAGCGTTCCCTGTGCATGCATAGGGAACGCTCTGCAGCCG